GTTATTACATTGTTCTGTACTTTGTATCATTGTCCAAGTAGAGAGATTGAACAGTTGTCCCATGTAGCATTTTAGATGGTCAAGATCAATTTTAAACATTGCCATATCTCATATGGCTAAATCAAGAAGGCAGCTTTTTTAAAGTATTTTGAATATTTTGGTATAACTAATTATTTCTTTCTAAGATCAAATGGTGAGAGATTGTTTTTTCACTTTTAAATTCCTTCTCAAATATGTTTGTTTCTTAATTTGCATTAAGGCTAGGGAGAGTTGTCCTTTTATTTAAGTTTTGTAGAGCGTGTAATACAAACAAAATTGTTACAAGTTCTCTAAGAAAAAAATATTTAAATATATTTTTTCAATATCTTTATTAAAAAATGACATAAACTTTATAAATTTCAACATGATACGTATAAATTATAAATACATTTTGATCCTAACATTATTTATATCATGCTTTAAATACGAACAAACACCAAATATATATACTCAAATAAACAGACATACATCTCTTTCATAGCCAAATCACATTCACAGAAATAAATATATATACTTATCCCGTGTATATATAAATGTACATGCCAATTTTTTAATCAAATGAAATATATATATATATATATATATATACTTATCACTTATATATAAAGCACCTTTTAAATGAACATTTTTGTTATAAAATGGATAAATTACACTTTTGTGATCACTTACCTCTCCTGAGGGATTTCTGACAATTATAGAGACATTTTCTGTGATTTTAATAATTACACTAAGCTCGCTTACCTTTAAAATTATTATCAAGATTCTCTCATTATTAGACTATTTAATAAAATTTGCTGATGTCATACCAAAAATGACGAAATTACTCATTAATTATTTTATTTATTTAAATGAGAAATTTCACTTACTTCCCCTGAGTTTTGTATGTATATTATCAAAACTCTATACATACTTTATTGTTATTTAACAAATTTTTTAAATTTCATACAATATTAAATAAAAATTTTATATTGACAAGACATTATTAAATCGTTCATTGCAACAAAAAAAAAGATAAATTAAATTTTTATTGATAACATACATAAAAATAAATAATTATTCTAAAATTAATGATAGATAACATCGTAATAATTAATTAAATAAATTATTTCACACCACATAAATAACCTAAAATTTATTATTTTAAGAAATGCATTTATTTATTTATTTTAAATTAAGTTCAAATAAATAGATTTTTTTTCCAGCAATTTATATTACTTATTTATTCATATGTAAAAAAATTATTATTTTATATTTTCTCAATCATATATTATTCTCTAATTTTTATTGATGCTTTTGAGTCATTAAACTTTTATTCAATGTGTATTTAAAAAAATAAAAAAAATTAAACTTTTATTCAATGCATATTTTTTTAAAAAAAAAAAACGCATGTTAATATTTCTTACATGATTACAAAAATTAAAAAACAAAAATAGAAGTAAAAAAATTTAATCACCTCACAATAAATTAAAATTACTTAATAGGGAATGAAAGATCAAAAATCATTTGAGAATAATAAATAATTTAAACAATTTTTCATTTCTTACACTTAAAATTAAAATTAATCTTTATTTGAATGAAGAAATTATTTTAGAATAATAAAATACTCAATTAATTTATTATGTATGATACTTAAAAATCTATTTCTCTATCTTTATTTATCTCATTTAAACTATTTTTATTAAATTAAATCTTAAAATTTATTTCTCAACTTCATTGGTGGTTGAATTTTTATTTTATTTTTTTATAAAAGTTCAAAAACTTGTTGTGAAAAAAAATAGAGTCAAGAAATTACATTTATATTTTAAAAAATTATGAAAAATAAATAATAATTTCATATATATTTAAGAGGGTAAATTATATAACATTTATATTTTTTTTTCTTTAGAAAGTGTTTTATTTTGTTGTTTGTTTAAATTAGTATTAAAGTCAGATTTCTCGGTCTTGTCAATAAAATTATGAGTATTGGATATACGGAAGAAGTAAAATTAAATAATTTAAATAATAACAATTGGCTATAAATAATAATAGAACAAAATAAAGGTGAGAAATTAAAAAATAAAGTAAAACTTTAACCATTAAAGAATGTGAGAAATTAATTTTAAGATTTAATTTAATAAAAATAGTTTAATTGAGAAAAACAAAGATGGAATAATGTATTTTAAGTATCATACAACAAATTAATTGAATATTTTAGTATTCTAAAATAATTTCTCCATTCAAGTAAAGATTAATTTTATTTTTAGGTGTAAGAAATGAAAAATTATTTGAATTGTTTATTATTCTCAAATGATTTCTTGATCTTTCATTCCCTATTAACTAATTTTAATTTATTGTCAGGCAATTAGATTTTTTTTTACTTCTATATTTATTTTTAATTTTTTTTTTAATCATGTAAGAATAACTTTTTTTTTTTTTTTTTTGTTAAATATGCATCAATTAGAAATTTAATAACTCAAAAGATAAAAATTGAAATTTGTTAAATATCTTAACAATTTAGGGATAAATAATTTTCTTAGATATAAATAAATAAGTAGGACAAATTGCTGGAAAAAAAAATCCATTTGTTTCAACTTAAAAAAAGAAATGAAAAAATAAATTTAAATAATAAATACATTATTTATAATTGATAAAAATAACGTTGTTTTATATGGTCCGAAATAAATCTTATAAGTATCGCATTAATTATTAGGATCTTATTCTAACTAAGGTCAATTACACTGACATCCCTTGTGATTTGGTTCAATTACATCTCACCACCTAACGTTTTGAAAATTACATTCTCACCCCTATAATTAATAATCTTATTTCACAAATCTCCCTACTTATATAAAAAGCAACAACTCTTAGTAGAAAAATAGAGGAAATTATACTGAACACAAACCCTCCTACTTATATAAAAAGTAACAAGTCGTGGTCGAAAAACAAAGGAAATTACATTTAAAAAAAAAAATGTAAAGCAAAGTAAGAAAAGAAATAATGTATGAGTTCAATATTTTCATTCCGTCTAAATAATTGCAATGACATTGGATTAGTGTAATTTTCAAACATCAAGGGGTGATATATATTAAATCCAAACCTTAGGGGGTGCAAGTGTAATTTACCCTTTAAACAGTTTGGGTGTTAAGTTAAAATATGTATGGATCTTTAATAACATATATGCAAAACTTCAGGGAAAGTAAACGTAAACGAATTCTTTTTATTTAAATAGCTTATTAGTTCAAAGAGGGCAATATTGTCATTTTGGATATAAAAGTAACAACGTTTGTGCTAAGTTAACAAATTGGAAGAATCTTGATAAGGAAAACTACAAGAGATTTATGTAATTATTGAAATCATAAAGGAACTTCCTATATTTGTCAGATAGGTAAGTGTAATTTACCCTTATAAAATTAACAAGTACAACTCTATGAGAAGATCAATGATTTTCCTTGGACCATAACTGTTGTTGTTGTTTTTTTCTTTTTCTTTTTCTTTTCTTTTTTTTTTTTTTGGTGGATTTATTTTTGTTATTTGTAGTTTGTTGTTTAGTTGACCCTTTAAGGTCTTGTTATTTTAATCTTGTATATTGTTTGTTTTATTTTAATATAACTGATTTTCCTATTACCAAAAAAAAAAAGTACAACTCATATATCATCAATTTTTCATTGAACGTTTTTATATCTAAATGTCAATACAATGCTAAAATATAAATATATTGTTTGTTTTATTTTAATATAACTGATTTTCCTATTACCAAAAAAAAAAAGTACAACTCATATATCATCAATTTTTCATTGAACGTTTTTATATCTAAATGTCAATACAATGCTAAAATATAAATAAATAAAGGGAAAATTATCTAAAATCCCTCCACTGGACTGTTATTTGGTAAAAATGATAGCGTAATTTATTTTGATTCATAAATCTCTAAAAAAGAGACGCATAATTAAGAACAAAATTTCTTGGACAATATTATCAAAGTACAATGTCTAAGGAAGAGACGCATAATTGGATAAGGACAAAATAAAATATCTTTTTTTTTTCTTTAATAATATTACCAAAGTTACCGTGAACTAGAATAACATGTTATTATCAAACAAAAAAAATTGTAAAAATGCTAATTTTATTAAAAACCAATATCTAGATCCAAAATAATATTATTTTAAAATTTAATATTTTGGTAATAGTGATATATTTTAAACTTTTCAAAGAAAACTTTTTATGTTTCTTTAATGTATTAAAATTTTGTTATGAAGAAATTTTGACCAAATTTTCTTAAAAATAAATCAAAATATTAGGAAAACAGAATGTAACAATTGTTAACTGAAAGACGATACAATGACAACAGCCATAGTTGACGGGGTAAAGTTCCCAGCCTTCTTTTACCTATTTCCTTGTTCGCTTTCCTTACGTCTGTTGGTGTGTTTTTTTTATTTTATTTAATTTAGCCTTCAATTCCAACAACCATAATAAAGCTTTCTAGAAATGGCTATTCTCAACTTTCTAGTACAGAAACTAACTCACTAACCACTGCACCTAAAAATTTCCAGCTCATCTAATCATATTATACACACCGCGCTATACCAGAGATCCCAAATAATCTATTAATTTTTTACAAATTGATAAAATATTTAATAAATTATTTGGGGTCTATAACATTTTTCAATACACACCACCACCAACTTTACTTTCAGTCAACTTAAAATGACACCAGTGATTGAAAAGATGAAAACAAGCCTGCTGTAGGGGTCTACCTCACTTCCTTCAAATATACCCACCCAAAAAAGGAGATAAACAACTCAATGAAAGAGAGACTTTGGGGCATTATATGGGTCATTACACTTTGCCATGGTTGAACCCGACAAATATATGTTGTTCATCATTACAGTTCCAATCAGACTTCAATCAAAAACATGGTAGGGGTTAGGCACTGGACCTGCATATCAATTGCTCAAATTTCCATCCATGCGCGAGGGTAGCAGTTTATATCAGTCATAAAGAGCCTTCATAAACACACTATCGCAATAGTTCAAAATATTCATCCATTTCTCATGAGGTTAATTAATCACTAACAAAAACAAATATATGGTAACATCAAAATGATCAAACTTCACAGATACATTATAGTTGGACTTGATAAATAAAGTGTCCCAAATTCGCATTTTATTCACCTCTTCCTTGAATCACATGTCAGTTTATGTGTCTCTTCTCTGTATCTTCCTGCTATTCAGACCATCATCTGAACATTCAAGAAATGCATATCCTTAACATAAACACACACACACACACACGCATGCACAAACAGAGATAGAAAGAGAGAGAGTTCCTGATTAGTCATGTTTGCTGACCTGCTCTGCCAGGAGCCATGTAAGCAATGCACTGTGTTTGCCTGCTTGCACATCCCTCTCATATTGTCAGTCAAGAGTAGAAGTTTCGCATCAAATTCATCAAGCATTCGCCACTTCTTGAATATGTTGAGACTGGCTTTTACCAGGTGGAATAAAAATCAGATCTTCCCAGCCAGAGTTCTTCTCACTCATCTGGCATCAAACAAGGAAAGTAATATCATGTTCACAATAACTTGTCCGTATCAAGCAAAAAGAATGACCAACTCAACAAATCCAGCATTCAGATCCTCTCACCTCCATTTTTTTAAGAACATCTTCCAAACTTCCCACCTGTAGAAAGAAATAAAAACAATGACTATGCTAACCTTACAGCACGAGTTACAAATTAACCCCACATTTTAGTTAAAATAAGGAGAGATAAATAATTTAAAAAATTAAATCTCTCAGAGAAAAAGCCATGATTCAAAGCATGAAACCTGAGCTAAAATTTATTCTAGGTCTTTTTTCTTGTCAAATTAAGAAATATTCTCTAGATTTCTTGAATCTTCCGGAACATACTTCTGCACCTCTGTTATACTGTCAACTATGAATTGAAAATAACCAAGTCCAACTCGTACATGATGCATATGAATATCACATAGAAGGGTGATAATCGAACTTTAGATTGTCCATCCAATTTATTTATGTCAACATTTCATAATGATTCAATCATCCTAACTTACTGCATCACATATTTGAGATGGGAACCATCATATGTAAGATTCCTGAAAATCTTAAAGGAGGTTTTATTGCCAGAGAAATTAGGCTTCTCCCATGGTGATTTACAGCACCCCATTGGTAATATGAAAAAAACGTACTGGAAACAACCAAACAATTTTTTCTATAACACTGCCCATTTCAAAACAAGCATATAGATATTTCCAAGAGGGTTTTTTTTTTTTTTTTAATTGATTTTTTAGCCCGAGTTTGGATATTTCAAAAATTGGTGCATCAGTGTGGTAAATGATTCCTAAATTCACTTTTTGCCATTCTTTATCATATCTCAGAGTCGAGCATTGATTTTGACAGACAATTGTAAAAGATTTAAACATGACAACCGCACAACCATATCAATACAACAATTTTGGTGATCTGTTATTGTCCATGTTCAACTGTCAGGATGCCAATCATTGATACAGAAAATGATCCAATAAGAATGTCGTTATAACAATACGAAATAAATTTATCAAGAAAAACTTCTGAAGTTAGGGAGAGAATGAGCTGCTACTCCGCATACACACAAGAAAAACCAGATCTGCTAAAGCTGCAATTTCAGAGTATTACTCCTAAAACACACACGCACACATGCACACACACACACACACACATGCGTGTACCAAAAGAAAAGAAGGGGGTGTTATGATTAGGCGTTGATACCATGATGTGTTGAGAAACACCTGGTCCCCTTGATGCTCTTGAGATTGTTGACAGTTCCTTTTCTATGTCTTCCTGTCTCAGCCACAAGCACAAGATAAATTCACACACTCATAATTGCATCTTCCGAAGTGCTGAATTCTAAACAACATTACATCTCTATTGTGTAAAAGACAAACCTTTCGGAAATATATTGGGCAGTAGCGTTTGTTTCTCTTCTTCACAACCAGAAGGTCTGACTGGAAACATAAAAAAACAATTCTTCTATATGAGTGGGCACACGTGCTCCCTGATAATTGGAGGCTCCAAAAGCATATATGATATCACATTAATCATATAGGCACATGCACACATATTAGCTCTATTTATCAACACAATTCCAGAGATGGCATAACTAACAATTTTAAAATAAATTATATTTCATAGGAGGCAAAATAAATGCACACAACTACATCACACACACACACACACACACAAAAGGCCACCTGCGCACCAAATAATACACAGATCCAGAAACAATATTTCAACCCCATTGAACTGATCAGTAACAGCTACTAATCCTAGATTAATATTTAAACCAATCAGTATTTTTTCAACCTTTAGTTTTGACATGAAGGGCATTGTGGATAGAGCATATTGTTGAAAGTGTGACAAAATATCTCATACAATGCCAGTTATATGTAACCAGAATTATATTAAGGGTAAATTACAAATACACCTCTTGAGGTTTGCTTAAAATACAAATTGTCCCTTGTGGTTCTAGAAATTACAAATGCATCCTTGTTAGAATTTATAATTTAATAAAATTGACAGAAAAAGTGAAATTAACTATCCTCCTATACAACAATGAAATTTCCAGAACTATTAATTGAAATATATTGTTGGCATCATTAAAAACTATTAATTGACTTAATGGTTGAGTAATGAAAGGAGTTATTTGTTATGCGATTAGAAATTTCAAGAGATGAGATGTAATTTTCATAACCACAAGGGGGGCAATAATTTGGGTTATTTACATAGAGACCCCCTAAACTTTTGAGAAATATCACTTTGACCCCCTGAATTGTAAAAGCTTACAAACGGAATCCCCTAAAATGTTAGATAACCTCGTAATAATTAATAAAAAATTTATTTCACACCCCGTAAATAACCTAAAATTTATTATTTTAAGAAATGCATTTATTTTTTTAAAAAAATTTAAGTTCAAATAAATAGATTTTTTTTTCAGCAATTTATATTACTTATTTATTCATATGTAAAAAAAATATTATTTTATTTTTTCTCAATCATATATTATTCTCAAATTTTTATTTTTATTTTTGAGTCATTAAAATTCTAGTTGATGCATATTAAAAAAAGTGCATGTTAATATTTCTTACATGATTACAAAAATTAAAAAACAAAAATAGAAGTAAAAAAATTTAATCACCTCACAATAAATTAAAATTACTTAATAGGGAATGAAAGATCAAAAATCATTTGAGAATAATAAATAATTTAAACAATTTTTCATTTCTTACACTTAAAATTAAAATTAATCTTTATTTGAATGAAGAAATTATTTTAGAATAATAAAATACTCAATTAATTTATTATGTATGATACTTAAAAATCTATTTCTCTATCTTTATTTATCTCATTTAAACTATTTTTATTAAATTAAATCTTAAAATTTATTTCTCAACTTCATTAATGGTTGAATTTTTATTTTATTTTTTATAAAAGTTCAAAAACTTCTTGTGAAAAAAAATAGAGTCAAGAAATTACATTTATATTTTAAAAAATTATAAAAAATAAATAATAATTTCATATAGATTTAAGAGGGTAAATTAAATTACGTTTATATTTTTTTTCTTTTGAAAGTGTTTTATTTTGTTGTTTGTTTAAATCAGTATTAAAGTCAGATTTCTCGGTCTTGTCAATAAAATTATGAGTATTGGATATACAGAAGAAGTAAAATTAAATAATTTAAATAATAACAATTCGCTATAAATAATAATAGAACCAAATAAAGGTGAGAAATTAAAAAATAAAGAAAAACTTTAACCATTAAAGAATGTGAGAAATTAATTTTAAGATTTAATTTAATAAAAAATAGTTTAATTGAGAAAAACAAAGATGGAATAATATATTTTAAGTATCATACAACAAATTAATTGAGTATTTTAGTATTCTAAAATAATTTCTCCATTCAAGTAAAGATTAATTTTATTTTTAGGGGTAAGAAATGAAAAATTATTTAATTGTATATTATTCTCAAATGATTTCTTGATCTTTCATTCCCTATTAACTAATTTTAATTTATTGTGAGGCAATTTGATTTTTTTTACTACTATATTTATTTTTAATTTTTTTTAATCATGTAAGAATAACCTTTTTTTTAAAAAAAAAATATGCATCAATTAGAAATTTAATAACTCAAAGATAAAAATTAAAATTTGTTAAATATCTGAACAATTTAGGGATAAATAATTTTCTTAGATATAAATAAATAAGTAAGACAAATTGCTGGGAAAAAAATCCATTTGTTTCAACTTAAAAAAAAAAGAAATGAAAAAATAAATTTAAATAATAAATACATTATTTATAATTGATAAAAATACTGTTGTTTTAATATGGTCTGAAATAAGTCTTATAAGTATCGTATTAATTATTAAGATCTTATTCTAAACTAGGGTCAATTACACTGATACCCCTTGTAATTTGGTTCAATTACATCCCACCGCCTAATGTTTTAGAAATTACATTCTTACCCCTATGGTTAATAATCTCATTTCACAAATCTCCCTACTTATATAAAAGGCAATAACTCCTAATAGAAAAATAGAGAAAATTACATTGAACACAAACCCTCTTACTTATATAAAAAGCAACAACTCCTGGTAGAGAAATAAAGGAAATTACATTGAAAAGAACAAAATGTAAAGCAAAGTAAGAAAAAGAGATAACGTATGAGTTCAATATTTTCATTCTGTCTAAATAATTACAATGACATAGGGTTAGTGTAATTTTTCAAACGTCAAGGGGTGATATGTATTAAATCCAAACCTCAAGGGGTGCAAGTGTGATTTACCCTTTAAACAATTTGGGTGCTAAGTTAAAATATGTATAGATCTTTAATAACATATATGCAAAACTTCAGGTGAAGTAAACGAATTTTTTTATTTAAATAGCTTATTAGTTCAAAGACGGCAATATGGTCATTTTGTATATAAAAGTAACAATGTTTGTGCTAAATTTACAAATTGGAAGAATTTTGATAAGAAAAACTGCAAAAGATTTCTGTAATTATTGAAACCATAAAGGAAGTTCCTATATTTGTCAGATACCTCAGGAGAGGAAAGTGTAATTTACCCTTATAAAATTAACAAGCACAACTCTATGAGAAAATCGATGATTTTCCTTTATCATAACTGTTGTTGTTTTTTTCTTTTTCTTTTTTCTTTTTTTTTTTTAGCAGATTTATTTTTGTTATTTGTAGTTTGTTGTTTAGTTGGCTCTCTAAGGTCTTCTTGTTTTAATCTTGTATGTTGTTTGTTTTATTTTAATACAACTGATTTTCCTAACACACACACACACACACACACACACACACACACACACACACAACACACACACACACACAAGGTACAACTCATATATCATCAATTTTTCATTGAACGTTTTTATATCTAAATGTCAATACAATGCTAAAATATAAATAAATAAAGGGGAAATTATCTAAAATCCCTCCACTGGAACTGTTATTTGGTAAAAATGATAGCGTAATTTATTTTGATTCATAAATCCCTAAAAAAGAGACGCATAATTAAGTAAAAACAAAATATAAAATAAAATAAAAAATTCTTGGATAATATTGTCAAAGTACAATGTCTAAGGAAGAGACGCATAATTAGGTAAGGACAAAATAAAATATCTTTTCTTTTTTCTTTAATAATATTGCCAGAGTTACCGTGAAATAGAATAACATATTATTATCAAACAAAATAATGTGATACTATTTACATTAATTTCGACGGTATTTTTTTTTAAAAATCTCATAATCAATATAGATCTTATTTGATATATCTTCATAAAAAAATTGTAAAAATGCTAATTTTATTAAAAACCAATATCTAGATCCAAAATAATATTATTTTAAAATTTAATATTTTGGTAATAGTGATATATTTTAAACTTTTCAAAGAAAACTTTTTATGTTTCTTTAATGTATTAAAATTTTGTTATGAAGAAATTTTGACCAAATTTTCTTAAAAATAAATCAAAATATTAGGAAAACAGAATGTAACAATTGTTAACTGAAAGACGATACAACGACAACAGCCATAGTTGACGGGGTAAAGTTCCCAGCCTTCTTTTACCTGTTTCCTTGTTCGCTTTCCTTATGTCTGTTGGTGTATTTTTTTTATTTTATTTTATTTAGCCTTCAATTCCAACAACCATAATAAAGCTTTCTAGAAAAGGCCATTCTCAACTTTCTAGTACAGAAACCAACTTATTAACCACTGCACCTACAAATTTCCAGCTCATCTAATCATATTATACACACCGTGCTATACCAGAGACTCCAAATAATCTATTAATTTTTTTACAAATTGATAAAATATTTAATAAATTATTTGGGTCTAACATTTTCCAATACACACCACCACCAACTTTACTTTCAGTCTACTTAAAATGACACCAGTGATTGAAAAGATGAAAACAAGCTTGCTGTTAGGGCCTACCTCACTTCCTTCACATATACCCACCCAAAAAAGGAGATAAACAACTCAATGAAAGAGAGACTTTGGGACATTTAATGGATAATTGCACTTTGCCATGGTTGAACCCGACAAATATATGTTGTTGTTCATCATTACAGTTCCAATCAGACTTCAATCAAAAACATGGTAGGGGTTAGGCACTGGACCTGCATATCAATTGCTCAAATTTCCATCCATGCGCGAGGGTAGCAGTTTATATCAGTCATAAAGAGCCTTCATAAACACACTATCGCAATAGTTCAAAATATTCATCCATTTCTCATGAGGTTAATTAATCACTAACAAAAACAAATATATGGTAACATCAAAATGATCAAACTTCACAGATACATTATAGTTGGACTTGATAAATAAAGTGTCCCAAATTCGCATTTTATTCACCTCTTCCTTGAATCACATGTCAGTTTATGTGTCTCTTCTCTGTATCTTCCTGCTATTCAGACCATCATCTGAACATTCAAGAAATGCATATCCTTAACATAAACACACACACACACACACGCATGCACAAACAGAGATAGAAAGAGAGAGAGTTCCTGATTAGTCATGTTTGCTGACCTGCTCTGCCAGGAGCCATGTAAGCAATGCACTGTGTTTGCCTGCTTGCACATCCCTCTCATATTGTCAGTCAAGAGTAGAAGTTTCGCATCAAATTCATCAAGCATTCGCCACTTCTTGAATATGTTGAGACTGGCTTTTACCAGGTGGAATAAAAATCAGATCTTCCCAGCCGGAGTTCTTCTCACTCATCTGGCATCAAACAAGGAAAGTAATAACATGTTGGCAATAACTTGTTCGTATGAGGCAAAAAGAATGACCAACTCCACAAATCCAGCATTCAGATCCTCTTACCTCCATTTTTTTAAGAACATCTTCCAAACTTCCCACCTGTAGAAAGAAATAAAAACAATGACTATGCTAACCTTACAGCACGAGTTACAAATTAACCCCACATTTTAGTTAAAATAAGGAGAGATAAATAATTTAAAAAATTAAATCTCTCAGAGAAAAAGCCATGATTCAAAGCATGAAACCTGAGCTAAAATTTATTCTAGGTCTTTTTTCTTGTCAAATTAAGAAATATTCTCTAGATTTCTTGAATCTTCCGGAACATACTTCTGCACCTCTGTTATACTGTCAACTATGAATTGAAAATAACCAAGTCCAACTCGTACATGATGCATATGAATATCACATAGAAGGGTGATAATCGAACTTTAGATTGTCCATCCAATTTATTTATGTCAACATTTCATAATGATTCAATCATCCTAACTTACTGCATCACATATTTGAGATGGGAACCATCATATGTAAGATTCCTGAAAATCTTAAAGGAGGTTTTATTGCCAGAGAAATTAGGCTTCTCCCATGGTGATTTACAGCACCCCATTGGTAATATGAAAAAAACGTACTGGAAACAACCAAACAATTTTTTCCATAGCACTGCCCATTTGAAAACAAGCATAGATATTTCCAAGAGGGTTTTTTTTTTTTTTTTTTTTAAATTGCCTTTTTAGCCCGAGTTTGGATATTTCAAAAATTGGTGCATCAGTGTGGTGCCTAAATTCACTTTTTGCCACTCTTTATCATATCTCAGAGTCGAGCATTGATTTTGACAGACAATTGTAAAAGATTTAAACATGACAACTGCACAACCATATCAATACAACAATTTTGGTGATCTGTTATTGTCCATGTTCAACTGTCAGGATGCCAATCATTGATAAAGAAAATGATCCAATAAGAATGTCGTTATAACAATATGAAATAAATTTATCAAGAAAAACTTCTGAAGTTAGGGAGAGAATGAGCTGCTACTCCGCACACACACAAGAAAAACCAGATCTGCTAAAGCTGCAATTTCAGAGTATTACTCCTAAAACACACGCACACACGCACACACGCACACGCACACATGCGTGTACCAAAAGAAAAGAAGGGGGTGTTATGATTAGGCGTTGATACCATGATGTGTTGAGAAACACCTGGTCCCCTTGATGCTCTTGAGATTGTTGACAGTTCCTTTTCTATGTCTTCCTGTCTCAGCCACAAGCACAAGATAAAGTCACACACTCAAAATTGCATCTTCTGAAGTGCTGAATTCTAAACAACATTACATCTCTATTGTGTAAAAGACAAACCTTTCGGAAATATATTGGGCAGTAACGTTTGTTTCTCTTCTTCACAACCAGAAGGTCTGACTGGAAACATAAAAAAACAATTCTTTTATATGAGTGGGCACACGTGCTCCCTGATAATTGGAGGTTCCAAAAGCATATATGATCTCACATTAATCATATAGGCACATGCACACACATTAGCTCTATTTATCAACACAATTCCAGAGATGACATAACTAACAATTTTAAAATAAATTATATTTCATAGGAGGCAAAATAAATGCAAACAACTACATCACACACACACACACACACACAAAAGGCCACCTGCGCACCAAATAATACACAGATCCAGAAACAATATTTCAACCCCATTGAACTGATCAGTAACAGCTACTAATCCTAGATTAATATTTAAACCAATCAGTATTTTTTCAACCTTTAGTTTTGACGTGAAGGGCATTGTGGATAGAGCATATTGTTGAAAGTGTGACAAAATATCTCATACAATGTCACTTATATGTAACCAGAATTATATTAAGGGTAAATTACAAATACACCTCTTGAGATTTGCTTAAAATACAAATTGTCCCCTGTGGTTCTAGAAATTACAAATGCATCCTTGTTAGAATTTATAATTTAATAGAATTGACAGAAAAAGTGAAATTAACTATCCTCCTATACAACAATGAAATTTCCAGAACTATTAATTGAAATATATTGTTGGCATCATTAAAAACTATTAATTGACTTAATGGTTGAGTAATGAAAGGAGTTATTTGTTATGCGATTAGAAATTTCAAGAGATGAGATGTAATTTTCATAACCACAAGGGGGGCAATAATTTGGGTTATTTACATAGAGACCCCCTAAACTTTTGAGAAATATCACTTTGACCCCCTGAATTGTAAAAGCTTACAAACGGAATCCCCTAAAGTATTGACATGTTTTACTTTGACTTCCTAAACTATAAAAGTCCACAAACGGATCCCAAAACTATTGATGTTTTTCACTTTGGCCCCTTCCGTTACTGCACCATGAGTTAAACCAAACTTTTCACCTTTTTTAGACGAAAATACTCTTCAACACTATATATATTTACAATTCCATTATTATTGTTTTTTTAAATATTCTTTGTAAATATATTTTTGTAGAAAGAATACTAAAACAACAATGATTCATCCCACTAATTTGAGAGCACTAATTGACCACTAATGAGGTGGAAATTCAAAAAAAAAAAAAAACACGAGCAAAACATCCCATCATGTGGGACTCACACCACTTTAGAGCTATTAGTGCTCCTCTTTTTAGTGGTCTCACTCATTTTTCTTAAAAAAGTAATAATAATAAAATAAAATAAAACTCATAATATATATTTATAAATTAGTTAGTTTGATGAATGCTTACCTTGAAATTCATGCATCCCAAAAATTTCCTTCCAGGATTATTCTCTGTGAATTCAGTTCTCAAAGGAAATCTCATGCCACAGTAGCAGTATGCATCACCCAAGTTTTGTGGTTGTTGGCAACTAGATGTGATTTTCTACTTGTTTGAGATTGTGTTACTACAAGATGCCATTTTTTTAGTGTTTGGGAAATTATAGAGGAAGAGGTTCAAGGAGAGGCACTGGAGGAAAATTGAAAGGAAGTGCTGCTGGGTGTGTTATATAAAGTGTTGAAGGGTATTTTCATCTCAAAAGTGTTAAAATTTTGGTTTGACTCACGAGGCAATAATGGAAGGTATCAAAGTGAAACATTAGGTGGTTCATTTGTACGCTTTTATAGTTTATGGGGTCACAGTGATACTTCTCGATAGTTTAGAGGGTCCATTTGTACACTTTTATAGTTTATGGGGTTAAAGTAATACTTTTTGATAGTTTAGGGGGTCTCCATGTAAATATCCCTTAGTATTTTAAGTAAACCTTAGGAGGTGTATTTGTAATTTACCCTTATATTAATTGAAGGGTCAAACACCCCTAAGCTAACCTTCATGCGCGTGTGTGTGTGTGTTCTACATTAATGTTTGGCAATGCTTTTAACATAATTTCTGAATCGTCAAATTCAGTCAGTCATTCAATATTATTTTCTTTGGGACAAAAATCATATCTTTTAATTTCCATCAAAAAACTTCATTCTGGTAACAACCTAATAATGACCTGTCACATATTGTTACCCTTAAAATAGTGACAGGCAACACATTAGGCGCAGTAGCCATGCATCATGACATGATTATCTGGAAGCAAGGAGAGGAATTATATTTAATTTAATAATACACAGGCATACCTGGAAAACTGGAACTCCATCAAACCCGCTCTTGCTATCTGAAGCTTTCAGCTGGCAAGCATGAAAATTAAATGTGAGCCAATTGAGTACTGCAGGTGACAAAATTAAATACAAATTGAGTAATGTCCAGATCAAGCAAGTATGAGTTTCGGACTCATTTGATGTTGGTAGCTGAGGTGCACTCCGGTCAGAAATTCCCCTTCCAAGAATACATACAACAGGTTAAAACTTACTACCACATGACATAAGACACCACAATTTGTACCCCTTTTTTCAATACTTCAAAACCTATCAGAACATGGATGACATTACATGAAAGAAAACAAAAAAATATTGAGTAGAAGATTGGAAGGATATGCCCAAAGTCATAATCCAAGACCGGCAGAAAGGGCCCCTAAATTACAGAATGTGGGAAGCTCCTGTCATAACAAATGTCAATGCCACAAGAAGCCTACATAGTGGAACAATGTACTTACTGCATCCAATAGAACATCTATTTGTTCCCATAAAATAGATTCAAAATGCCAAAATATGTTGCTTTTTGCAAACCTGTTGTGCACTCAAGGGCCAGCTATGTCCCTAAGTTTAAGAAGCAACATTAAGATACAAATTTATTTAAGTAAATAATTGTTCATTAGACTTCAGCAATTCCATTTAGGGTTCCATCATTTGCACTAAAGATTTATCTCAAAGGTGATAGTTCTGATTTTGAGTCAACTAATAGAGCAATGCTCTTAAGAAGCCCTCAATTAGAATCTTGATGGCAGGATTGTTACACCAATTGTACTTGTGTTACTCCCCTTTTGGCGTACATTAATATAAGACCTCTTTAATTATCAAAAAATTGTTGGAAAATTATGCATTCCATATTATAGCATTAGATCAAATCATTCTTCTGATCACACCTGCTCATTTGCTAGAGTATTGTCCTGAGTAATCTTCAAATTAATAGCGTTGACTTCTATCCACTCCAAAAATACATTATTTATGTCTGTCGCATCAATATTTTTAATTCATATACTCATTCAAATAAACTGAAATAAATAGCACTTCAGTGATTAGATTGGAGTGAAACCAGAGATAGATATGAAACCATTGGATGGTTCATGACTTGATCCAAGAGATTTTGTAAAAAGGAAGGATGACTGTTGACCAAAAAAGGTAAATGTTTTATCATTCCTCTAGATCTTATCATCATAAATTTTCATTTTCCTATTCCAGAAAAATAAATAAATAAATAAAAATAAATATTAGAAAAAGCATATTTTCTTGCAATAAATCACATCACACGATCATTACTTTAGCTGATCATCAAAATTACTTGACAAGAATTAGCCTAATAGTAGAAGTTCTACTAAAAATATCCTTTCTAATGCAATGCCATAATTGCTATTTGTCATTTAGCACTTGTTTCGATATCTTACAGCAGTGATGAATCAAACTAGTTTGGAAGAAACCTGATCTAGAGCATAGCAAAAATGATAAGCAACTATGTATCTGAACTTTTTATTAGGATAAATTCACATAGGACTATAAGGGATCTTCTCTTAATGATGGGATATTTTGAAATATAAGAACAAAGAACAAGCCAATATTTTGAGTAAAGATAAAGATATGCAATTTCAAAGAGGGCAACACCAGCAAAAGATCAGCTTTACCAAATACCAACAATGCAACTTTTGCCAGTTTTTGAACCATTTACAAAAAAACTGGTAAAGGACTGATGCTGTATTGCAATCAATTATAAATTGAAATGACACTAGAGCACTGCCAATACAGCTACCTCCTCAAACTAGAAAACAAATTAATCACACACCTCTAATGCATTCTTTATTTGAATCGGATCTGGTAAAAACCGAAATGCAATTCCTTCAACCTTCAACATATAGACCTATAAATTGAGGGAAAGGAGAAAAAGCAGCAGATCATGTCAAGATGCTAACAAGTAATGGCAAAATCAAATAACAACATAAATAAAATGTAAATAATTTGATAGCGAAACCGTGGTTAATTACTAAAAATAGAGCACGCAGCTCGTGAAGTTTAACACTTTATCCATAATCAAAGTAACTTGCTACACAGTAAATGTTCTTTGATAAGTGGGGAAAAAAGTCATCTGACGTTTAAATAAAAATATATTATTATTATTATTAAATCAAATTGTGAACGAAATATTAAATTTTTTTTCTACCCTTTTTTCGCATAAGGGGGCCTGAGTAAGACCAGGAACAGAGAGGGTCAAGAGTGGGCTCCAATTGGTGAAAATAAAGCTAGGTAGATGGAAAGGTCTTTTGATGAAGGAGAAATTGGGGAGGCTATTTTTTATTGTGAAAAAGATAAATCTCCGGGTCTAGATGGTTTCTCTATGAAAGTTTTTCAAGATTGTTGTGATATGGTGAAAGGAGACTTGATGAGAGTCTTTGCATAATTTTTTGAGAATGGAGTGGTGAATGCAAGTACAAAAGCAATGCTCATTTGCTTAATTCCTTAAAAAGACAAGTCTCTGAAGATTTCATGATTTTAGGCCAACCACCTTGGTTACATCTTTATATAAAATCTTGGGTAAAGTGTTATCAAAGAGATTGAAGGCAGTTTTGGTGGATACTATCTCTTTAGCTCAAGGAACTTTTATTGAGGGACGTGATTCTGGATGTTGTGTAGGCTACGAATGACGTAATTGAAAATTATATAAGATCAAACGTGGAGGGTGTTATTTTTAAAGTTGATTTAGAGAAAACATATGATCATGTGAATTGGCAGTTCTAGAATTTTGTAAAATGTAGAAATGGATTGGGAAGAGATGGAGGAAATGGATTCAAGGTTGTTTGTCTTCTCTTGTAAACTGTCGATCATTGTTAATGGTAAGACAGGGAAAGTTTTAAAGCATATAGGGGTCATAAGCAAGGGATCTGTTATCCCCTTTATTGTTGACTTTAGTGGCGAAAATTTTGGGTAGTATGGTAGATAGAGCTAGAATGGGTGGTTTGGTGAATGGCTTTATTATTGAGAGGGAGAGGGTGTCTTTGTCCCATTTACAGTTTGTAGATGATATTATCTTTTTCTCTTCTGGGGATGGTTCTGAGGTAGTGAATTTGCTTTCGTTGCTAAGAATTTTCGAGATGGATTCAGGCCTTAAAGTGAATTTGAATAAAAGTTGCATTGTGGGAATTAACATCCAACATGATAGAATCAAGAGGTTGGCGGGGTTTCTAGGGTTTTCCATTAAGAAAATTCCGATTAAGTATATGGGGCTTTCTTTGGGTGCGCAATCCTCAAATGGAGTCATTTTGAGCCCCAATAATAGAAAAGATAGGTAAGAGGTTGGAAGGTAGGAAAAGAGCCTTATTTTCTAGAGGAGGTGGAATTATACAAGTTTACAAGGGGCATAACCCAAGCTATTCCTACAGACAAAACAACAATCTACTGCACCCCCCCTCACCCGGGGGGGCGAGATAGGGGGAAGTGGAATTACATGGGTACAATCAGTGTTGTGTAGCATTCCCCTTTATTATTTGTCAGTGTTTAGAATTCAGGGTGGGATAGCCATGAAAATTGAAAAATTGATGAGGGGCTTTCTTTAGAAGAATGGGTGAAGGGAGAAAAGACTACTTGGTGAATTGGGAAACTATTTCTCTTCCTAAAGATAAACGGGGATTTTCCATTGAGAATATAGTGGCAAGGAATATTGTTGCACTACTAGGCAAGTGGTTATGGAGATTTCTCCTGGAAGACAATTCATTATGACACTCCATATTAAGAGTAAATATGGGATTCAAGCAAATGGTAGGCCTCTTTCTATGGTTAATAGGGTTAATGGTCGTGTGCCATGGAAGCCAATTTTTAGAATTTTTCCTTTCTTTTCTAATTTCATTTCACTGAAAGTAGGTAATGGTGAGTACACTTGATTTTGGGAGGATGTTTAAATGGGGGACTCCTCATTTGATGCTTTGTTTCCACATTTGAATCGATTGACACGTCCGCATGATGTTTCCATTGTGACTACGGCTCATTCCTTTGTAGTTCTAATTTCTTGGGACTAGAACTTCTTCAGAAATCCTAATGTTTGGGAGACTCTTAAGTTGATTTCTTTGTTGCCATGCTTGATAGTTTTTCCTTGAGACCAAGTATCAATTACCAATTGGTGTGCTTTCTTCACTCTTCCAGGATCTTTTCATGTAAATCCTTTTTTGACAAAATCATTGATACCTCCATTGTTTACTTCGTGTTTCAATTTAAAAGAATTTGGAAAGTGGTTGTATCTATCAAAGTTAACGTTTTCATGTGGACTATGTTTCATGGAAGTATCATGACTAATGACTCATTAAAAGAAGACCTAAATGCAATCTTTGTCGTTAATGGTATATATCATGTGCAAGACGAAAGAGGAATCTTTGGATCACTTATTTTTGCATTACTAGGTGGTTTTGATTTTCTAACATCGCCTTTTTCAATTGGTGAATGTTTGTTGGACGGCTCCGACTAATTGTATCCAAATGATTTAGATTGATTTTTGGGGTTTAGGCAGCCACAAGAAAGCTAAAGCTTTGTGGAGTTGTTATCACCTTCTCATTCTCTGGGTGGTGTCGTTGGAACGGAATGTTATGATTTCTAAGACAAATCTAAGGAAATTGAGTCTTTACAAGATAAAATTTAATACATGGCTTCTTTTTGAGCTTCTGTTTCCAGTTAAAGGGATTCCTTTCTTTTTGATTTCTTCACGTCGGACAATAGCGTGTCATGTGTAGTTTTTGGGGTCTTGTTTTTCTTTTTTCTTGTGACTTGTATTGTGGTGGACTTCTTGTCCTCTTGATTGTACTTTTTTAATCTTCATATTTACTTTTCGTTGCTGATATAAAAAATAAATAAATAGGTGAAGAAAACGTGGAATGATTTAGCAAAATATTGTATTTTAAACAACTATTTATAAAAATACAACACATTTGAAGCTATTTAGCAAACTTTTTTGAAATCACGATTTTAATTAATATTGCATTTTCAAGTTGCAATTTTGCATTGAGTTGGCAACTTCGCAACATTGCCAGCATGGTGAAATTGATATTTTAAAAATAAAATCGCCTGTTGAAAATGCATTTTCACCTATCAATGAAATCGCAAGTTTAACATGCTTACAAATTTCATTTTTAGATAAGATAGAATGATTGAAAAAGGAAGGTTTAATTTATGGATATAGTGAAATCATATATTCAACCTTCACTTTTACAAAAAAGCAATCTTCAATCAAACATAAGTGAAATTTATGGATTATATCGTGAGAATCAAGAGAGAAAGATTCGGTGAAGGACAAAGTTTGACTCAATTGCATAGAGAGATTGTTCCACGTTTCATACAACAACAAAAAATATATATATCAACACATATATACATATATTTCAGTAGCTATGCTGAGATATATACATCAATTGCTGTGCAATATTTATGAAATAGCAGGTTGTAAATTCAATTTCCTGTATTTCTTAGTGCCACACCAGATCCTATGCCAAGTTGCCATGTGACCACCTCACCATGAAATCAAGTGAAAATGTAATTTCAACATGAAATTTCAAAGATTGTTGTATTTGTTGAATAGTTCCCAAACTATGGTACTTCTATGATTAGTTTTCCAAAATACAATATTCATCCAAAAAGGCCCGGTAATGTGCCATCTAGAGGCCAATCCAATAACTAGTTTTAAAAACCAATCTCTGACTTTTAATACTAAATTTTCATTTAATCAGCTATCTAATGTCAGCAGTCTTATGTAGCATTATGAAATCAAAATGCACAAGTAGTGTCGCAAATAATTTCTTATATCATTCTCTAATCAGCTAATGTAGTTACAAAATCCCCAAAACGGTCAAAATTTTCAAATAATTTCCTTTGCCCATCAATATGTTGGCCCTTGTGATTATCCAGAATGTTTATTAACACTCGTAGCACCGCAAAGTTTAAACCTAATGCCATTTCTAGCTAAACTTTGTTCATATTTCTTCAGGTTAGGGTATTATATCCTCGTGCACCAATTATGTTTACAAGTTAGGTATTTGTTTTCCACATAGCAAATAGCAAAGCAAAAACTAGAATTAAAAACAAAAGTCCCAAAGCAGTAACCTGGTCAAGTGTAATAGGAACAACCCTAGCCTTGCTTCGCAATTCCCTCTTCCGTGACTGAACCTGAAAAAAGTGACACATTCAAAACTAAACAAATCAATTCAAATCCAGTAAGAAATAAATTATGTGTAATTAGAGAGAGAGAGAGAGAGAGAGAGAGAGAGACTTGAGCGAGAAAGGCTTGGGCGTCTTCGTGGCGAAAGCAAAGCAAGCCAATGGATTTGAGGGAATTGGGATCAGAAATGAGCACGAACTCGTTGTTGGAGTTGCTGACGGTGTACACAGACGTTCCGGAGAGAGTCTTCGCCACGTGGTCGGAGCTCAGAAGAGCAACATCGAACGCGTGCTTTCCCTGCTGCGACTGCGACTGCGACTGAGACTGAGACTGAGACACCGACTCCGACACAGATGCAAAAGGTAAAGAACAAAAAGAAGAAGAAGA